AAAAAATTCCTGATGTCATCTAGTGGTCACCCAGAATTACGGCAATAGTTACAGAGGTCCAGCCATAATCAGTTGTTTTCACCTACATCTTCATCTTAGATCTCTGTGTGCTTTTCAAGAACCCCAAAGCTTGAAAAGCAATACATAAGTATTGTAAAGTAAGTAGTTAAATACCACTTAAATGTAATGATGTGTAAATAAACTGCACCTAATATAGTTAGGATTAATTATTTCTGGCATGTGAAGTAAGAATGAATCTACCAAGTTCTTGTCTCCCATTTTTTCCTGTAGTCTATATGCTTGCTTAGTTTGGAACTGGACAATTTTAGAGTATTTCCTGCTATCCACACATTGATCAATTGTAAAACATACTAGAAGAGAGGATTATTTCTTTATTTGCATTTTTAGGTTTAAATTCATATCTCTCATATGATTACTGTGGATCAGGATCTCAGCCGTAAAAATAAATGCTAGTTCTGCCTCTTAAAATATTAGCATAGCTACTACTGCCTAAGGGGCCCTTGGTTCTACCATCTGCTTTATCATGCTGGATTATGAATAACTTTGAAGTTAAGACCAACCTACGCACAGAGACACAACAGCCTTCCAGATCCCAAGATAGGCCAGAGGCAACCACATTTCATCAGCTTTATCATAGGAAATCTAGCAGTATTGGAAGAACTGTTACTCTAGGCACAGTGACATGACACTGCCAGTGAAAGTCCAGAGCATGCAAGCTGAACTGCAGCCTTAATACTTTCCTGGGAGCAATGCTTATTGAGTTAAGAATGTGTATTTCTTACTAGACATACATAGAATTGCTCTGTTAGAAGCGGACACAAGCAGGGAAAGAGCAGCAAGTTGGGGAGCGGAAAGAAAACTATCACATCTACTCACGGGAAGAGGTATGTAGAATACATCCTCTCCTCATTTAGTGACTGCAATTGTTCTGATGAAATGGTCGCTAAGCGACACAGTTGCTAAACGAACCATGTGACAGAGAGAGAGACACGGCCAAGATCGCTGGTTGCTGCAGTCTCATTCAGATAAAGTTCTCTCCTACAATGTCCTGTGCCTGATCCAGAATTGGAGAACTCCATTCATCCTCCACAAGCCTGCTCACTGACTGATCTCCCTGCACCTATGGCAGAAATACAGGGCTGTGTTATGCATATACAGTATATAAGAAAAGCAGCCTTCTGCTGCTCTTTTGAGTTTTCTGGCAAGTGGCAGATCCAGCTTTACTATTTGGCAGAGTAAATGTTGGGATGTTGTTAAAAGGCAATAAATTATTGGGGTGGTGTGTCTTTTTCTGACACCTTGGTGAGGTGGCTTTTAAATTTGGAGACTCAGGGTTTTCCTGGTGAGGTTCTCTGCCTGCTTGAGTGAAGTCATGCATGAACTTATTGCTTATACAGTTCAGTTCTGCAAACATGGGAAGTAGCACTTTAGTATACAAAGTGTGGTGGTAGAAGGTACATTCCCCCCGCTCCCCGTACATATGCAAACTGCATTCGCTACCAAACCTATGGAATGCTCCTCCAATACATATGAACTGCTTAAAGTGACCTTGTAAGAAAACATTCACAGCAAGCTAAAGTGACCCCAAGTGGTGACATGGAGAAGACTCAATCAGGAACCAGTGGCCCAGTAAACCAAATTGTTTCTATTCACTAACCATATCCCAAAGATAGCATAGCTAGCATGCTGACCTAGTAGGAAGGGAATAATAATAATAATAATAATAATAATAATAATAATAATAATAATAATAATAATAATAATATCATCATCACATGGATGGGTTTATCTAAAATATTCCGACATCCTGCTCTACTTTCCATTGGGCCTGCCTGCTTCTTTGTCTTGCCTTTGCAATGTGGTGGGCCAAAGATACATCAGTTTTTTGCTCATGGCCACCCCCCAAAATTTCAAAACTTTGGTGGAGGGCCCCTATATTCTGCATTATTTTTTGTATGTATGCAGGTA